TTCTTAGCATGCACCTGGTTTGTTCTTAGCATGTACCTGACTTGTTCTTAGCATGCACCTGGTTTGTTCTTAGCATGTACCTGACTTGTTCTTAGCGTGTACCTGACTTGTTCTTAGCGTGTACCTGACTTGTTCTTAGCATGTACCTGACTTGTTCTTAGCGTGTACCTGACTTGTTCTTAGCGTGTACCTGACTTGTTCTTAGCATGTACCTGACTTGTTCTTAGCATGTACCTGACTTGTTCTTAGCATGTACCTGACTTGTTCTTAGCGTGTACCTGACTTGTTCTTAGCGTGTACCTGACTTGTTCTTAGCGTGTACCTGACTTGTTCTTAGCGTGTACCTGACTTGTTCTTAGCGTGTACCTGACTTGGTCTTAGCGTGTACCTGACTTGTTCTTAGCGTGTACTTGACTTGTTCTTAGCGTGTACCTGACTTGGTCTTAGCGTGTACCTGACTTGTGGCGTGTATTCTTAACGTGTACCTGACTTGTTCTTAGCGTGTACCTGACTTGTGGCGTGTATTCTTAGCGTGTACCTGACTTGTGGCGTTCCTAGTGGCATTCAAGTTCCTCATGGCGTCCTTCAGAGTGTCCGTCGCTTCCTGAATGGCTGCCGTGGTTACGTCCAGCGCCACTCGCGTCTGATTGGCCGCTTCCTTCACGCCCTCAGCCTCAGCTCTACATAAGAACACGGACCAGAGTTAAGGCCTCAGAGGACCAGAGAGAGACCAGAGAGAGACCAGAGAGAGACCAGAGAGAGACCAGAGAGAGACCAGAGAGAGACCAGAGAGAGACCAGAGAGAGACCAGAGAGAGACCAGAGAGAGAGACCAGAGAGAGAGACCAGAGAGAGACCAGAGAGAGACCAGAGAGAGACCAGAGAGAGACCAGAGAGAGAGAGAGACCAGAGAGAGAGACCAGACACACTGAGGGTCCTCACTTGGCTCGTGCCGCTCTCTGCAGCAGGTCCCGTGCTCGCTCCACGTGTTCGGTCGTGTCCTTCACCAGGTCCTCCACGTTGGACAGGTTCGAGAGTCCGTCTTTGATCTGGGTCAAGACTGAGTCCAGGACCGAGCGGTTCACAGGGACCGAGATGGACAGGACCTGCAGGGACACGGTCTCGATGCTCGCCGGATCTGCCCCCTCCTCTGTGGGGACCAAGGACCATGGTTAGAACCACTGAGACAAGAGACCACAGGGACCAGAGAACACAAGGACCAGACCAGAGACTAGACCAGAGAAAACATGGACCAGAGACCAGACAATAAACCCCAGGGACCAGAGATCATAGGGACCCGACCAGAGATCACAGAGACAGAGACCACAGGGACCAGACCAGAGACCACAGAGACAGAGACCAGAGGGACCAGAGAGGGTGAGGACACAGACCAGTGAGGAAGTCCTTGATCTTCTTGATGAAGTCCTTGAGTTTCTGGTTGGAGGTCTGCATACGGTCCTTCTTCTTCTGGGCCTTCTGCAGAGTGTCCAAGGCCCTGGTCTTCACGTCCTGAGTCAGAGTCACCAAGTCCTGCAGCTAAACCAGAGAGAGAGGATCAGACCAAGACCAGAACCAGGGTCTGGACCACGGCCAGGACCAGGAACAAGATCTGAACCAGGACTGGACCGGCACTGGACCAGGACAAGAAACAGCTCCAGAGAACAGAGACAAGAGACAGAAGGAAACAAGGGGTTTGGACCAGGACTGGACCAAAAACGCTGTGTGTGTGTCTCTGTGTGTCTCTGTGTGTGGGTCTCTGTGTGTCTCTGTGTGTGTGTCTCTGTGTGTATGTCTCTGTGTGTGTGTCTCTGTGTGTGTGTCTCTGTGTGTCTCTGTGTGTGGGTCTCTGTGTGTCTCTGTGTGTCTCTGTGTGTGGGTCTCTGTGTGTGTGTCTCTGTGTGTGGGTCTCTGTGTGTCTCTGTGTGTGTGTCTCTGTGTGTATGTCTCTGTGTGTGTGTCTCTGTGTGTGTGTCTCTGTGTGTCTCTGTGTGTGGGTCTCTGTGTGTCTCTGTGTGTCTCTGTGTGTGGGTCTCTGTGTGTGTGTCTCTGTGTGTGTGTCTCTGTGTGTGGGTCTCTGTGTGTCTTTGTGTGTGTGTCTCTGTGTGTCTCTGTGTGTGTGTCTCTGAGTGTCTCTCTGTGTGTGTGTCTCTGTGTGTGTGTCTCTGTGTGTGAGTCTTTGTGTATGTCTCTGTGTGTGTGTCTCTGAGTATGTCTGTGTGTGTGTGTCTGAGTATGTCTGTGTGTGTGTGTCTCTGTGTGTGTGTCTCTGAGTATGTCTCTGTGTGTGTGTTTTTCTGTGTGTGTGTTTTTCTGTGTGTGTGTCTCTGTGTGTATGTCTCCCTGTGTGTGTGTCTCTGTGTGTCTGTGTGTGTGTCTCTGTGTTTGTGTCTCTCTGTGTATGTGTCTGTGTGGGTCTCTGTGTGTGTCTGTGTGTATCTCTGTGTGTGTGTCCTTGTGTGTGTGTGTGTGTCTCTGTGTGTAGTTGTACCTTCTTTGCCGCCGCCTGCAGCTCTTCGTTGGCGTCTCTCAGGCCGCGGCTCACGTTGTGGGCGTGGCCTAAGGCGCTGCTCGCCGCGGTCACCGTGCCGTTACAGCCCGCCCCCCCACACACCACATTCCCCACATCGTCACGGCAACCACCCCCCCCACACAGACCGCACGAGCCGTTCACACCTTGAGCACTGCCACACACCTGCAGAGAGACCAGAGTGAGACCAGAGGGAGACCAGAGAGAGACCAGAGAGAGACCAGAGAGAGACCAGAGAGAGACCAGAGAGAGACCAGAGAGAGACCAGAGCGAGACCAGAGCGAGACCAGAGCGAGACCAGAGCGAGACCAGAGCGAGACCAGAGCGAGACCAGAGAGAGACCAGAGCGAGACCAGAGAGAGACCAGAGCGAGACCAGAGCGAGACCAGAGAGACCAGAGAGAGACCAGAGAGAGACCAGAGAGAGAGACACAGAAGGGTCAGGGGTCCACACCATGCCGCTGAGGCGCCTCTCTCTCTCCTGCAGGTCCTGGCTCTTCTCCTGCAGAGCGCTGAGGGAGCGGTTGTGTGCAGAGATGTTCCTCAGGAGGAGGTCTCTCTCGGTCTGCAGCAGGGTCTGGGTCTGGTTCCTGGTTCCACGAGAATGTTCCACCGGACTCTCAGGACCAGAGACCGAAGCATTACAGCGAAGCTCAGACTGAATCGACTGAGCGTGGAACCGTGAGACCTTCTGAAACTGATCTGAGGAGAGAGGACCAGAGTGAGACCAGAGAGAGACCAGAGAGCGACCAGAGAGAGACCAGAGAGAGACCAGAGAGAGACCAGAGAGAGACCAGAGTGAGACCAGAGTGAGACCAGAGAGAGACCAGAGTGAGACCAGAGAGAGACTAGAGAGAGACCAGAGTGAGACCAGAGAGAGACCAGAGAGGGACCAGAGAGGGACCAGAGAGGGACCAGAGACTGGACTCCTCACCTGTGAAGCCAGCGGTCAGCAGATCTTGCAGCAGCTCTTGCTTGTGTGTGAGTGTGTGGTTCAGAGAGTGTAGACGCTGCTGCAGCTGCATCAGCGCTGCTCTGGCCTCAGTCTCCTGAGACCACGTCCTGTTCACGTGAGACGCTGTGGACATGAGGCGACCGTCTGCCACTGCAATCTCCGCCCTGAGACACACACACAGACACACACACACAGAGACACACACAGAGAGACACACACAGAGACACACACACAGAGACACACACAGAGAGACACACACAGAGACACACACAGAGAGACACACACAGAGACATGAGGTGCAGTTACACAAGGACCTGAACTCCTCTCCTCTCTGCTCCCCTCTGCTCCTCTCTGCTCCCCTCTGCTCCTCTCTGCTCCTCTCTGCTCCCCTCTCTGGTCCCCTCTGCTCCCCTCTCTGGTCTCCTCTCTGCTCCTCTCTGCTCCTCTCTGCTCCCCTCTCTGGTCTCCTCTCTGCTCCTCTCTGCTCCTCTTTGCTCCCCTCTCTGGTCCCCTCCCTGGTCTCCTCTCTGGTCTCCTCTCTGGTCTCCTCTCTGCTCCTCTCTGCTCCCCTCTCTGGTCTCCTCTCTGCTCCTCTCTGCTCCTCTTTGCTCCCCTCTCTGGTCCCCTCCCTGGTCTCCTCTCTGCTCCTCTCTGCTCCCCTCTCTGGTCTCCTCTCTGCTCCTCTCTGCTCCTCTCTGCTCCCCTCTGCTCCTCTCTGCTCCCCTCTCTGGTCTCCTCTCTGCTCCTCTCTCTGCTCCCCTCTCTGGTCTCCTCTCTGCTCCTCTCTGCTCCTCTTTGCTCCCCTCTCTCCTGGTTCATGTCCCGCACCTGATGTCCTCCAGACTGTGTGAGATCTTCTCGTATCGCTCCTCGGTCTCGTTGCGGTCCTTCAGCAGCTCCTCCGTGCTCCTCAGCTTCTCCCACAGAGCGCTGAGACTGTGGTTGAGACCTCCTCCTCCTCCCCCGCCTCCCTCCTGGACCTTCTCCGCCCTCAGGACCAGGTGTTCCAGGTCTCTCCTCAGCTCGCAGAGGAGGTCGTCCCAGAGGCTGAAGCAGAGGTGGCAGGAGGCGCAGGCCGGAAACACGCCGCTGAAGCCGCGGGCGCACACGTCACACCGCGCACCACTAACACCCGCACGACACACACACGCACCAGACGCACGGTCGCACTGCGGAGACTGAGAGCCCCGCGGGTCACAGCGGCATTCTGGGCGAGAGAGAGAGAGAGAGAGAGTCACAGCGGCATTCTGGGGGAGAGAGAGAGAGAGAGAGAGTCACAGCGGCATTCTGGGGGAGAGAGAGAGAGAGTCACAGCGGCATTCTGGGGGAGAGAGAGAGAGTCACAGCGGCATTCTGGGGGAGAGAGAGAGAGTCACAGCGGCATTCTGGGGGAGAGAGAGAGAGAGAGAGGGTCACAGCGGCATTCTGGGGGAGAGAGAGAGAGAGAGCGAGGGGGTCACAGCGGCATTCTGGGGGAGAGAGAGAGAGAGAGAGAGAGTCACAGCGGATTCTGGGAGAGAGAGAGAGAGAGAGAGTCACAGCGGCATTCTGGGGGAGAGAGAGAGAGAGAGAGGGGGTCACAGCGGCATTCTGGGGGAGAGAGAGAGAGAGAGAGGGTCACAGCGGCATTCTGGGGGAGAGAGAGAGAGAGAGAGGGGGTCACAGCGGCATTCTGGGGGAGAGAGAGAGAGAGAGAGGGTCACAGCGGCATTCTGGGGGAGAGAGAGAGAGAGTCACAGCGGCATTTTGGGGGAGAGAGAGAGAGTCACAGCGGCATTCTGGGGGAGAGAGAGAGAGAGTCACAGCGGCATTCTGGGGGAGAGAGAGAGAGTCACAGCGGCATTCTGGGGGAGAGAGAGAGAGAGTCACAGCGGCATTCTGGGGGAGAGAGAGAGAGAGTCACAGCGGCATTCTGGGGGAGAGAGAGAGAGAGTCACAGCGGCATTCTGGGGAGAGAGAGAGAGAGTCACAGCGGCATTCTGGGGGAGAGAGAGAGAGAGTCACAGCGGCATTCTGGGGGAGAGAGAGAGAGTCACAGCGGCATTCTGGGGGAGAGAGAGAGAGTCACAGCGGCATTCTGGGAGAGAGAGAGAGAGTCACAGCGGCATTCTGGGGGAGAGAGAGAGAGAGAGGGTCACAGCGGCATTCTGGGGGAGAGAGAGAGAGAGAGAGAGTCACAGCGGATTCTGGGAGAGAGAGAGAGAGAGAGTCACAGCGGCATTCTGGGGGAGAGAAAGAGAGAGAGAGAGGGGGTCACAGCGGCATTCTGGGGGAGAGAGAGAGAGAGAGAGAGGGGGTCACAGCGGCATTCTGGGGGGAGAGAGAGAGAGAGAGAGAGTCACAGCGGCATTCTGGGGGAGAGAGAGAGAGAGAGTCACAGCGGCATTCTGGGGGAGAGAGAGAGAGAGTCACAGCGGCATTCTGGGGGAGAGAGAGAGAGGGTCACAGCGGCATTCTGGGGGAGAGAGAGAGAGAGAGAGGGTCACAGCGGCATTCTGGGGGAGAGAGAGAGAGAGTCACAGCGGCATTCTGGGGGAGAGAGAGAGAGAGAGTCACAGCGGCATTCTGGGGGAGAGAGAGAGAGAGAGAGAGCGGCAGCGGCATTCTGGGGGAGAGAGAGAGACAGCGGCATTCTGGGGAGAGAGAGAGAGAGAGAGGGGTCGGGCATTCTGGGGGAGAGAGAGAGAGAGAGAGAGGGGTCACAGCGGCATTCTGGGGGAGAGAGAGAGAGAGAGAGGGGTCACAGCGGCATTCTGGGGGAGAGAGAGAGAGAGAGAGGGGGTCACAGCGGCATTCTGGGGGAGAGAGAGAGAGAGAGGGTCACAGCGGATTCTGGGGGAGAGAGAGAGAGAGAGAGAGTCACAGCGGCATTCTGGGGGAGAGAGAGAGAGAGAGTCACAGCGGCATTCTGGGGGAGAGAGAGAGAGTCACCGGCATTCTGGGGAGAGAGAGAGAGAGAGTCACAGCGGCATTCTGGGGGAGAGAGAGAGAGGAGAGAGGGGTCACAGCGGCATTCTGGGGAGAGAGAGAGAGAGAGAGAGGTCACAGCGGCATTCTGGGGGAGAGAGAGAGAGAGTCACAGCGGCATTCTGGGGGGAGAGAGAGAGAGTCACAGCGGCATTCTGGGGAGAGAGAGAGAGAGAGAGGGTCACAGCGGCATTCTGGGGGAGGAGAGAGAGAGAGAGAGGGTCACAGCGGCATTCTGGGGGAGAGAGAGAGAGAGTCACAGCGGCATTCTGGGGGAGAGAGAGAGAGAGAGAGGGTCACAGCGGCATTCTGGGGGAGAGAGAGAGAGAGAGAGGGGGTCACAGCGGCATTCTGGGGGAGAGAGAGAGAGAGAGTCACAGCGGCATTCTGGGAGAGAGAGAGAGAGAGAGGACAGCGGCATTCTGGGGGAGAGAGAGAGAGAGAGAGAGAGGGGGTCACAGCGGCATTCTGGGGGAGAGAGAGAGAGAGAGAGGGGGTCACAGCGGCATTCTGGGGGAGAGAGAGAGAGAGAGAGAGGGTCACAGCGGCATTCTGGGGGAGAGAGAGAGAGAGAGAGGGGTCACAGCGGCATTCTGGGGGAGAGAGAGAGAGAGAGTCACAGCGGCATTCTGGGGGAGAGAGAGAGAGAGTCACAGCGGCATTCTGGGGGAGAGAGAGAGAGAGTCACAGCGGCATTCTGGGGGAGAGAGAGAGAGTCACAGCGGCATTCTGGGGGAGAGAGAGAGAGTCACAGCGGCATTCTGGGGGAGAGAGAGAGAGAGTCACAGCGGCATTCTGGGGGAGGAGAGAGAGAGTCACAGCGGCATTCTGGGGGAGAGAGAGAGAGAGAGAGGGTCACAGCGGCATTCTGGGGGAGAGAGAGAGAGAGAGTCACAGCGGCATTCTGGGGGAGAGAAGAGAGAGAGAGAGGGGGTCACAGCGGCATTCTGGGGGAGAGAGAGAGAGAGAGAGAGAGTCACAGCGGCATTCTGGGAGAGAGAGAGAGAGAGAGAGAGGGGTCACAGCGGCATTCTGGGGGAGAGAGAGAGAGAGAGGAGAGTCACAGCGGCATTCTGGGGGAGAGAGAGAGAGAGTCACAGCGGCATTCTGGGAGAGAAAGAGAGAGAGAGAGGGGGTCACAGCGGCATTCTGGGGGAGAGAGAGAGAGAGAGAGAGTCACAGCGGCATTCTGGGGGAGAGAGAGATGTACACTGTAGAACACAGAGACAGATCTGAGGCAGAGACCTGGGAGAGACTGGAAAGAGAGAGACCGGAGATTTTTGAGAGAGACTAGAGAGAGACTAGAGAGAGACCAGAGAGAGACTAGAGAGAGACCAGAGAGAGACCAGAGAGAGACCAGAGAGAGACCAGAGAGAGACCAGAGAGAGGCCAGAGAGAGACCAGAGAGAGACCAGAGAGAGACCAGAGAGAGGCCAGAGAGAGGCCAGAGAGAGACCAGAGAGAGGCCAGAGAGAGACCAGAGAGAGACCGGAGAGAGACCAGAGAGAGACCGGAGATGCCTTTTAAATAAATGGTACTAAAGCAGGTCTCACCTCGACACTGGGTCTGAGGGTCTCCCCAGTGCAGCTCCTCACACTCTGAACAGGTCCGACCCCCGAAGCCCGAGCGACACTGGCACTGGCCCGAGAACTGAGCAGAAGGAGACACACCACTGCTGGTCTCAGACACTCAAAGATGCGCTACGTAAGTTCAGGCTCATAAATCTGCGACACACACTCACTCATTCTCACCAGACTTTTACACAAGAATCTAACTAAGCATTTCTTATTTTCTCATATGAACAGAGAGTGAAGTGTTGTGAGCCAATCAGATCACCCCAAGCACTGTTGCCGGGTAGAATACTCCAGAACACTGAATACATGACCTAAAATGTATTTTGTATAGTTTTACAATTACTTTATAAAACTTGTATTATTTATTAAAGAAGTAAATAAACGATTGGAACTTAGTTTACCGTGACGTGTGTAAGGCACCCGAGTGAGTTGCTAGCATTTAGCCTTTAGCCTAGCTTTAGCATTTAGCCTAGCTTTGGCATTTAGCCTAGCTTTAGCATTTAGCCTAGCTTTAGGCAAGGCAAGGCAAGTTTATTTGTAAAGCACACAAAATATTCAGCTTCTCCTTCAGACCATGTGGGGAGTAGAGCCACAACATCTTGCTTTGGCTTCATGAAGGAAATGATAATGGACCGCAGTTTGCTAATGGCTAAGGCCAGGATATGTTTTCTAAATCCTAGACTTTAAAGTAGTAACTGTAATGGAATAGTTACTCAGAAACATGACTACATGATGGTGTTACATGTATCAGTTTATGTGAGTGTGCGTCTCACCAGGTTGCAGTGCTCTCCCAGCGCCTGCAGATGGTGACACCCACATGGTTCACAGCCGGTGTTGCGGCCGTAGTTCCAGTGGTTTGGTGCGCAGGTGTCACAGTGAGCGCCCGCCACGTTGGGACGGCACAGACACTCGCCGCTCTGAGGGTGACAGTCACAGAGGCCCCCGGAGCAGGACGAGGGGACGGTGCCTGCAGTGACACAGGAGCAGCCTGCAGGGGGAGACACACGTGAGAGGGAGTCTCTCTCTGGTCTCTCTCTGGTCTCTTTCTGGTCTCTTTGGTCTCTCTGGCCTGTCTCTCTCTGGTCTCTTTGGTCTCTCTGGTCTCTCTCTGGTCTCTCTGCGGTCTCTGTGCGGTCTCTGTCTGGTCTCTCTGTGGTCTCACTCTGGTCTATCTGGTCTCTATCTGGTCTTTCTCTGGTCTCTCTGGTCTCTCTCTAGTCTCTCTCCGGTCTCTCAGGTCTCCCTCTGGTCTCCCTCTGGTCTTTCTGGTCTCTCTGGTGTCCCTGTGGTCTCCCTCTGGTCCCTCTGGTCTCCCTCTGGTCTCCCTCTGGTCTCTCTGGTCTCCCTCTGGTCTCTCTGGTCTTACGTCTGCAGTCGTGTTCTGGTGCGTTCCCATAGTATCCTTGTTGGCAGAGCTGACAGCTGGTCCCTGTGGTGTGGTACAGACACAGCAGACAGGTCCCTGTGCTCGGGTCACATGACTGCGGGTCCAGAGGGTCGATGTTCCCGTTACACTGACACGGCTCACACTGACCAGAGGGGGCGCTGTAGTGACCAGGGGCACACACGTCACAGCGGGAGCCTGAGGGAAGAAGACAGACTTCAGAGCTGCTCCAGAGCTGCTTCAGAGCTGCTTCAGAGCAGCTCCAGAGCTGCTTCAGAACTGCTTCAGAGCTGCTTCAGAGCTGCTTCAGAGCTGCTTCACAGCTGCTTCAGAGCTGCTTCAGAGCTGCTTCAGAGCAGCTCCAGAGCTGCTTCACAGCTGCCTCAGAGCTGCTTCACAGCTGCTTCAGAGCTGCTTCAGAGCTGCTTCAGAGCTGCTCCACAGCTGCTCCGGAGCTGCTCCAGAGCTGCTCCAGAGCTGCACCAGAGCTGCTTCAGAGCTACTCCAGAGCTGCTTCAGAGCTGCTCCAGAGCTGCTTCAGAGCTGCTTCAGAGCTGCTCCACAGCTGCTCCGGAGCTGCTCCAGAGCTGCTCCAGAGCTGCACCAGAGCTGCTTCAGAGCTACTCCAGAGCTGCTTCAGAGCTGCTCCAGAGCTGCTTCAGAGCTACTTCAGAGCTGCTTCAGAGCTACTCCAGAGCTGCTTCAGAGCTGCTCCAGAGCTGCTTCAGAGCTACTTCAGAGCTGCTTCAGAGCTGCTCCAGAGCTGCTTCAGAGCTGCTTCAGAGCTGCTCTCTCTGGACGCACCGGTGTAGCCGGGTTTGCAGCGACAGACGATCTGGTCGCTGTGGGCGTCAGCCTCACACGACAGGGCGTTGAAGTGGGCGGAGTCTGGGCCGCCGGGACACGGGCACGGCCGGCAGTGTTCGCCCGAGCCCAGGACCGGGTTGCCATAGTAACCGTCCTCACATCTGTGCAGAGAACACCATTAGCATCAGTCAGCTGTTAGCTCGTAGCATTAGCCTGTCTCTCACCTCTCGCAGAAGTGCCCCCCCGTGTGGTCTCTGCAGCCGGTGCACTCTCCGGTGTGGGCGTGGCATATGTCGGCGTGGCCGTTACACTGACAGGCAGTGCATGATGGGAAACCCCAGTGACCGGGGTGACACTTTGAGCAGCGGCGGCCGCTCGCACCGGGACGACACGAGCACTGACCACTGCCCTGAGCGCACTGATGTGACAGGGCCCCATCAGGGTCACACTCACAGACTGCAACAGAGAGAGGGTCAGTGTGTGTGTGTGTGTCTGTGTGTGTGTGTGTCTGTGTCTGTGTGTGTGTGTCTGTGTCTGTATGTGTGTGTGTCTGTGTGTGTCTGTGTGTGTGTGTGTATGTGTGTGTGTCTGTGTGTGTGTGTCTGTGTCTGTATGTGTGTGTCTGTGTCTGTATGTGTGTGTGTCTGTGTGTGTGTGTGTATGTGTGTGTGTCTGTGAGTGTCTCTGTGTGTGTCTATGAGTGTCTGTGTGTGTGTCTGTGTGTGTGTGTGTGTCTGTGTGTCTGTGTGTGTGTGTGTGTCTGTGAGTGTCTCTGTGTGTGTCTATGAGTGTCTGTGTGTGTGTCTGTGTGTGTGTGTCTATGAGTGTCTGTGTCTGTGTGTGTGTGTGTGTGTGTGTCTCACGTGTGCAGCCGCTGCTCCCAAAGCCGTATGTTCCTGGGGCACACTGTTCACAGCGTCGTCCAATCACGTTGGGTTTACAGAGACACTGTCCTCCGATTGGCTCACACTGTCCTGACAGAGAGCCCTGAGGGTCGCACATACACGCTGTGGAGACACGCAACATGTAAACGCACAACACACACAGGGAAACAGAGACACATACACAAACACGGAGAGACACACACACACTCGCACACAGAGAGAGACAGACACACACAGATACAGAGAGCAACACATACTCTCACGCGCACAAACACACACACAAAGACACAATGACACACAAAAACACAGACACACACACAAATACATACACACACACACAAACACAGACACACAAATACACACGGACACAGGCACACACACACAGACACACGCACAAACACAGACACACACGGGGACACACAGACACACACTCACGTAGGCCTCCGTTGTGCATGAGAGCAGAGATGCCGCACACCAGCCGCACACACACGTCGGCGAGCGGCGGCGTGGGGCTGATGAGGAAGGCGTCCACACACATGTAGCGCTGCATGTGCTCGCGCCGCTGCTCCGCCTCCAACCCGTCTCCATGGAAACCAGCCAGCTCGGTGTACCGGGGCATCAGGACCAGCTGCCGGGACACACAACACAGTGACACACAGGCACAACACAGAGACACACTCCCCCTGGTGGAAGAGCACAGGTACAACAGACAAACACACTCCCTCTGGTGGAAGAGCACAGGTACAACACAGAGACACACTCCCCCTGGTGGAAGAGCACAGGTAAAACACAGAGACACACTCCCCCTGGTGGAAGAGCACAGGTACAACACAGAGACACACTCCCCCTGGTGGAAGAGCACAGGTACAACAGACAAACACACTCCCTCTGGTGGAAGAGCACAGGTACAACACAGAGACACACTCCCCCTGGTGGAAGAGCACAGGTACAACACAGAGACACACTCCCCCTGGTGGAAGAGCACAGGTACAACACAGAGACACACTCCCCCTGGTGGAAGAGCACAGGTACAACAGACAAACACACTCCCTCTGGTGGAAGAGCACAGGTACAACACAGAGACACACTCCCCCTGGTGGAAGAGCACAGGTACAACACAGAGACACACTCCCCCTGGTGGAAGAGCACAGGTACAACACAGAGACACACTCCCCCTGGTGGAAGAGCACAGGTACAACACAGAGACACACTCCCCCTGGTGGAAGAGCACAGGTACAACACAGAGACACACTCCCCCTGGTGGAAGAGCACAGGTACAACAGGGTCAGGGCTCTCACCGAGTCGACCAGGATGAAGGCGGTGAGGTGGCGGTGTGTGACGCCGTGGCGCTGGAAGCGGATGGAGATCTCGTATGTGTTCGAGGGTTCAAAGCAGAAGGGGCGGGGCATCTGGACATATCTGAAACATAAACATGTGTCATGTAGCATCTGTCCCTGTGACCTCTGACCTGTGTCCCTGTGAGCTCTAACCATTGTGGGCAGGTCCTGGCTTAAAAAGGGTCCATGAGCATGTTTACTGACATGCTGTAATCTGGCTCCTTGCCGGTGGGGGTGTAACCGGAAACAGAATTATCCACTGAGTTCTTACAACAAATTCTTTCCTCTAAAAAACAGCTTTAAAAGTCTGGTCCAAAAGTCGCTCTTAGTCCAACCAGGTCCAGATGCTGTCGACGCTGAGGGGAGTATTTTTTGTTTTGGACCAGTCTAGTTTAGCGGCTGTGGACTTTTGTGGACACTTGTTAAATGAATGGGGCTCATGCGGCTAACACGTGAACAAAGGGTTTGTTCACATTTTCCTGTGGGAGGGGCCGCTCATGGCCATTTTCAAAGGGACAGCAGGAGGGAAGAGTGATGTCACATGAGTTTCACTCTGTCTGTTGATATGTACAGAGTGTGGCTCTAACCTGCTGCGGTGCGGCAGAGTCACGGTGAAGAGCTGCTCCGTGGGCAGCAGGTTCCCACAGCGCAGACTAGAGGCGAGGTGGAGGGATGACACGCTGACCACGGCCTCCCAGTCCTCTGTGGACTGAAGACACAACAGGTCTGAAGCAGGTCTAAAGCAGGTCTAAAGCAGGTCTAAAGCAGGTCTAAAGCAGGTCTAGGGCAGGTCTAAATTAGGTCTAAAGCAGGACTAAAGCAGGTGTAAAGCAGGACTAAAGCAAGTCTAAAGCAGGACTAAAGCAGGTCTAAAACAGGTCTAAGGCAAGACAAAAGTAGGTCTAAAGCAGGACTAAAGCAGGTCTAAATTAGGTCTAAAGCAGGACTAAAGCAGGTCTAAAGCAGGACTAAAGCAGGTCTAAAGCAGGTCTAAAGCAGGTCTATAGCAGGTCTATAGCAGGTCTAAAGGACTCACCTCGGGCTCGTAGCGGATCATGATGTCATAGTCCATGGCGTGGGGAATGTTGTCCACCGTGAAGACCAGACCAGCTCCGTCTTTGACTCGAGCAAAACCAGGTCCAGACCAGGTGACGAGGAGAGAGGAGGAATGTTCGCGATGGACCGGGCGCACGTCCGGCTGTGGACCAGAGACCAGAGCCCAAGACCAGAGACCGGGTGAGACCGGAGACCAAGACAAGAGACCAGGTGAGACCCAAGAGAGACCAGAGACCAAAGAGGAGAGAGAGTTGCCAGAGAGAGACAACACAGACTAGAGAGACCAAAGAGACAAAAGAGAGAACAGAGAGAGATCAGAGAGGGAGAGAGAAAGAGTGAGAGACTAGAGAGAGACCAGAGAGAGAGACCAGGGAGAGACTAGAGAGAGACCAGAGAGAGAGACCAGGGAGAGACTAGAGAGGGAGACCAAAGAGAGACCAGAGAGAGACCAGAGAGAGAGACCAGGGAGAGACTAGAGAGAGACCAAGGAGAGACTAGAGAGAGAGACCAGAGAGATAGACCCCAGGTTGTGTATTTCCTCACAGTCTGACGGAGCTGGCGGATGCGTCTCAGCGCTGCACGGTCTTGTTGCATGTTCTCCACACGCCGGTGTCTGCGGTGGCGACGCAGTTGTTCACTCAGGTGCTGAACACAGTCTGTGTCGGCCTGGGGGCGGAGCTGACCCTGAGGGGAGGGGCCAAGGAAGGGTAGAGGGGAGGGGGGAGAGAGAGGAGGGGCCAGGGGACAGGGGAGAGGGGACAGTTGTATTCAGGTCACTTTCCACGTTACCCACACCTGTTTTTAATCAACGAGACAATAAAGAGTGGGGAGAAAGAACTGAGGGCAAAGAGAGCCAGAGAGGGACTGGAGGGGACTGGTGATCCTGGAGGGGCCTGGAGCTGTGGCCCGGGCCGCCGGAGCAGCGGGGATCCACCAGCTGAAGCAGCGGAACAGCCAACCCCGGACAAGACACGCACCAGAACGGGGAAATGGGATTGGACCCTGGAGGGAGGACACGGAGGTTGACGCCGGAGGCAGCAAGAGCAGCGGCGAGCACAGACACAGGGCAGCCCAGACCGACCTGAACCGCTGCAGACCGTGTGTGCAGTGGCCGCTGTGTGACCTGTCGCTGAGACCGGGACACAACGCTGTCTCTCAGGTTTGAACCTTTTATAGCAAATCTAATCTTTATTAAACACCTGTGACAGTTGTGTAGCAGCAGGTCGGTGCTGCTGGAACTCCCTGTCGCCTCTTCATGTGTGTATAGATGAGTGTCTGTGTGTACAGTTTTGTCTCGGTGTGTATAGTTGTGTGTCTGTGTGTACAGTTGTATAGTTGTGTGTCTGAGTGTACAGTTGTGTGTCTGTGTGTATAGTTGTGTGTCTGTGTGTACAGTTGTATAGTTGTGTGTTTGAGTGTACAGTTGTGTGTCTGTGTGTACAGTTGTGTCTCTGTGTGTACAGTTGTGTGTCTGAGTGTACAGTTGTGTACCGGTAGCTCCGTGCTGCTCGGACTCTTCCCTGTCGCCTCTTCTGCTTCGTAACGCTGATGATCCAACGCGGCGCAGAAGAATCCAGGCTGAACGTCAGAACACTGTCGACCAATCAGAGCGCTCCGACAGAGACACTGACCACTGTCCATCAGGCACCTGCCAATCACAGAGAGAGGGCGGGACTAATGAGAGAGCAGCCAATCACAGAGAGAGGGCGGGACTAATGAGAGAGCAGCCAATCACACAGAGAGGGCGGGACTAATGAAAGAGCAGCCAATCACAGAGAGAGGGCGGGACTAATGAGAGAGCAGCCAATCACAGAAAGAGGGCAGGACTAATGAGAGAGCAGCCAATCACACAGAGAGGGCGGGACTAATGAGAGAGCAGCCAATCACACAGAGAGGGCGGGACTAATGAGAGAGCAGCCAATCAAGGAAAACCCCTTGAGATGAATCATCTCATTTTCGAGGGGGTCCTAAACATAAATACAAACATTTAAACAAACACACAAACACAAAAACAATTTACAGCAAATTAAAGATGAGAAAAGTTAATTAAACACACACAAAAACAAAAACAACAACAAAAATGAAACAAAACAAATGCTCCTTCGCACCGCACTCCTCCCCTCTGCTGAAATTAACATTTATAAAAGGACAAAGTAAAACTATTGACAATAATGACACATACAGAACATTAGTGACATAAACACGGAGTTTCAAGAAACCTAAATAATTCAAACTTAAATAAACCCAAAGACAGAGTGGACCGTGTGGATGTGGGGAGTTTATTCCAGTCTGAGGGAGCCTTGTAAATGATCTGCGTCCAACTTCTTTACAAACTCTTGGAACTGAAAAGGTGAGACAATCTGAGGTTTGGAGTGAAAAAGGCGTAGAGACAGGGACAAAAAACTGTTTTAAATATTGTGGACAACTAAAATGAATAAATTTAAATAATTAATGCATCCAGTGAAGGTGACGTCTGTTGTGAGGCTGAAGCCGGTGAAGGTGACATCTGTTGTGAGGCTGAAGCCAGTGAAGGTGGCGTCTGTTGTGAGGCTGAAGCCAGTGAAGGTGACGTCTGTTGTGAGGCTGAAGTCAGTGAAGGTGACGTCTGTTGTGAGGCTGAAGCCAGTGAAGGTGGCGTCTGTTGTGAGGCTGAAGCCAGTGAAGGTGACGTCTGTTGTGAGGTTGAAGCCAGTGAAGGTGACGTCTGTTGTGAGGCTGAAGCCAGTGAAGGTGACGTCTGTTGTGAGGTTGAATCCAGTGAAGGTGGCGTCTGTTGTGAGGTTGAAGCCAGTGAAGGTGACGTCTGTTGTGAGGCTGAAGTCAGTGAAGGTGACGTCTGTTGTGAGGTTGAATCCAGTGAAGGTGGCGTCTGTTGTGAGGTTGAAGCCAGTGAAGGTGACGTCTGTTGTGAGGCTGAAGTCAGTGAAGGTGACGTCTGTTGTGAGGTTGAAGCCAGTGAAGGTGACGTCTGTTGTGAGGTTGAATCCAGTGAAGGTGGCGTCTGTTGTGAGGTTGAAGCCAGTGAAGGTGACGTCTGTTGTGAGGCTGAAGTCAGTGAAGGTGACGTCTGTTGTGAGGTTGAAGCCAGTGAAGGTGACGTCTGTTGTGAGGCTGAAGCCAGTGAAGGTGACGTCTGTTGTGAGGCTGAAGCCAGTGAAGGTGGCGTCTGTTGTGAGGCTGAAGCCAGTGAAGGTGACGTCTGTTGTGAGGCTGAAGCCAGTGAAGGTGACGTCTGTTGTGAGGTTGAAGCCAGTGAAGGTGACGTCTGTTGTGAGGCTGAAGCCAGTGAAGGTGGCGTCTGTTGTGAGGCTGAAGCCAGTGAAGGTGGCGTCTGTTGTGAGGCTGAAGCCAGTGAAGGTGACGTCTGTTGTGAGGCTGAAGCCAGTGAAGGTGACGTCTGTTGTGAGGTTGAAGCCAGTGAAGGTGACGTCTGTTGTGTGGTTGAAGCCAGTGAAGGGTCTCATACAGAGTGCAGTGATGTGTGTGATACGGACATTTGAGGATGAATCTTCAGAGACAGTTAAAAGTGTATTGAGTGGTTTGAGATGGGAGGGAAATGTGTTTTGATAAATGACGTCAGCGTAATCGATGAGAGGAAGAACCAGTTAAGTAATTATTTGTTTTCTGACGTTGAGGGTGAAGCAGTGAGAATAATGGGCCCATTGTGGCGTACGTTCTTTTGATGATGGAGTTGATGTGATGTTTGAAGTTGAGTTCCAGGTCTAACCAGAGGCCGAGGTATTTGATTGGTTCTCATACTCACTGGTTGTTGAGTGCTCCTCCGAAGTCACAGTCGCATGGTCTGCAGCCCGACAGGTCGTTGCTGAGGCCCCAGAACTCAGGCTGCGGCAGAAATAACACTTTTACTAAGACACACACACAACACACACAAACAGATACACACAACACACACAAAAATATAGACACACACACACACAAACAGATGGACACTCAAACAAACTAAATAGACACACACACAAACAGTTAGACACACAAACACACACACAACACACAGACATACACACACACAGACACACGCACACACACACAGACAGACACACACAAACACACACACACACATGAACAGATAAACACACACACACACACACAAACTGACCAGACACTGGTCGCAGTGTCGTCCGGTCACATGACGTTTGCAGGAACAGTCTCCACTGATCTGGTCGCACGGCGCCCCCATCTGGACGATACCTCGAGGGTCACAGTTACACGCTGTGGAGGGGATGGAGACTTATGAGGACAGGGGATGGAGACTTATGAGGACTCGGGGATGGACAATTATGAGGACTGGGGGATGGAGACTTATGAGGACTGGGGACTGGGGATGGAGACTTATGAGGACTGGGGGAAGGAGACTTATGAGGACTGGGGGATGGAGACATATGAGGACTGGGGGATGGAGACTTATGAGGACTGGGGACGGAGACTTATGAGGACTGGGGGATGGAGACTTATGAGGACTGGGGGATGGACACTTATGAGGACTGGGGACGGAGACTTATGAGGACTGGGGGAAGGAGACTTATGAGGGCTGGGGGATGGACACTTATGAGGACTGGGGACGGAGACTTATGAGGACTGGGGGATGGAGACTTATGAGGACTGAGGGATGGAGACTTATGAGGACTGGGGGATGGACACTTATGAGGACTGGGGATGGAGACTTATGAGGACTGGGGGATGGAGACTTATGAGGACTGGGGGACGGAGACTTATGAGGACTGGGGGAAGGAGACTTATGAGGGCTGGGGGATGGAGACTTATGAGGACTGGGGGATGGAGACTTATGAGAACTGGGGGATGGAGACTTATGAGGACTGGGTTGGGCAATGGTTGGTAAAAGTAGAACTCGGTTTGATAAAGTCTGAGCACCCCTGTTCTATTCACTGTGAAAAATCAATAACAATCAAACAATCACAAATACTTTATTTTTAGACGGGCTTGGATTACTATACACTTTTTGCTTCATCCAATGATTTTTCAAACCATATCAACGGACATTTAGAGCAAATTTTAATTACGATTAATCACAAGTTAACTATGACATTAATGCGATTAACCACTGTTAAACATTTCAATCGTTTGACAACACTAATAGATATAAATGTATGTATAAATCTGTCATCTGTCTGAACATGTGTGTAACATGTATCTCACCCTGGCAGCCCAGGGGGTCGCTGAAGCTCAGGCCGTAGTGTCCGTCTTTGCAGTCGTCGCACCTCAGACCGCGGACGTTTGGTTTGCAACGACACTGACCTGAGATCAACCCCAGGTCCAGGTCTGTGTGACTGTCACACACTCCCCCCTCCGCAGAGCCGGCTGGGTCACAGTCACAGGCTGAGGAAGAGGAAGAGGAAGAGTTTAAACCACTGTCTCACACTGCCCCCTCCGCAGAGCCGGCTGGGTTTGAAAACAGTGCATTGAGACAGAAGGGACAGGGTTAAACACAGCTGCAGGTCAGTGACGATGAGAAGCAGTGGAACATGGAGGAAGAGCATGCCAGTGTTTTGAGTGTGTGATGCTGAAGGACTTTGACAAAGACTAAACTCAGATAAAAACTCAACCTCAAAGTCGACCTTCAGCGGATGTTTTGTCTCTGGAGTTTTTCACCTTTAAACTGACAGTATGTTTCCGCAAAATATCTGGAGATTCAACAACAAACACCTCACTCACCCTCACAGACACGGGGGTCCCTCACTCACAGACTCGGGGGTCCCTCTGGTCCCTCACTCACCCGCACAGACTCAGGGGTCCCTCTGGTCCCTCACTCACCCGCACAGACTCAGGGGTCCCTCTGGTCCCTCACTCACCCGCACAGACTCAGGGGTCCCTCTGGTCCCTCACTCACCCGCACAGACTCAGGGGTCCCTCTGGTCCCTCACTCACCCGCACAGACTTGGGGGTCCCTCTGGTCCCTCACTCACCCGCACAGACTCAGGGGTCCCTCTGGTCCCTCACTCACCCGCACAGACTCAGGGGTCCCTCTGGTCCCTCACTCACCCGCACAGACTCAGGGGTCCCTCTGGTCCCTCACTCATCCGCACAGACTCAGGGGTCCCTCTGGTCCCTCACTCACCCGCACAGACTCGGGGTCCCTCTGGTCCCTCACTCACAGACTTGGGGGTCCCTCTGGTCCCTCACTCACAGACTCGGGGTCCCTCTGGCCCCTCACTCACCCGCACAGACTTGGGGGTCCCTCTGGTCTCGGTGTGGGTCTCTGTAGTAGAAGGGCCGGCAGGTCTCGCAGCTTCTGCCCATAGTGTTGTGTAGACACTGGTCACAGACTCCTCCGCTGCTGTTTCCTGTGGCCAAGAACACGGCCATGTCGAAGTGACAGCTGGAGGCGTGGCCATGGCACTCGCACTCTGCAACACAGAGGTCAGAGGTCATCAGGGACCTGTGACATCACACCATCAGGGACCTGTGACATCACACCATCAAGGACCTGTGACATGACATGAAAAATCTAGAAACAGGGTACAATAAATATAATTAAGTCGTCTGGTCGTCATGGTCACCCAGCAGCAACCCCCTCCCCTCCTGGTATGGTCGGCACTAGATTATATACAGAATCGGGACGAAACCGGAAATAACAATCCTACTTTCGAATTAGTTTTAGACAAATAAGTCCTTAAGTGGTGACTGGTTACGTTTTAGGCGTCTGAGTAAGATGGTTAAGGTTAGGGTTAAGGTGGTCTGAGTAAGATGGTTAAGGTTAGGGTTAAGGTGGTCTGAGTAAGATGGTTAAGTTTAGGGTTAAGGCTGGGTTGGGGTTATTTTATGGGAATGGCTGGTTAAGTTTAGGCATGAATAGGTAGTTTGTTGTATTTACTTCCACTTCCGTCCCGATTCCGTATATGATCTAGTGCTGACCCACCTGGTATACTCCTGAGTCCTGGGTCTACAGCCACAGTCACCCAACTTTGTAAAAGTCCTCAGAGACGACTGCAGCTGAGATTTACTACATTGAAATGAACTTTCATCGTATTTGTTTGGTTTATATTCCCAATCTGAGTTCAGCTCCATCTGTTGCCGTGGAGACTGTGGAACATTGGTCAGTGGACTCACCCCTGCAGCTGTGTGCGTCCTCTGCCTCCGCCGGGCTCCAGGGCAAGTCGTGGTGGAAGTCTTTACAGCGTTCACAGTTCAGTCCCTCAGTGTTGTGTTTGCAGACGCAGCGACCGTGAATCTGAGGAGAGACAACAACTTTAAAACTTCCTCCCCTGCAGTGGAATGTCACGGTTTAACTTCCATGTCAACTAGGGATAGACCAGAAAGACAAACCAGAGAGAGAGAGACCAAAGAGACCAGAGAGAGAGAGACCAAAGAGACCTGAGAGAGGCCAGGGATATCACCAAACACACTATCACAGAATGCTCTGCTCTCTCCCCTCTTCCCTACCCCATCTCCTCCCTTCCCTCTCCCTTATCCTCTCCCCTACCCTCTCCCCCTTCCCTCCCCCTTCCTCTCACCATGCCAGGCTCTCTCTGCTTCACCCCTGGCACAGGTGCACATTCAGAGGCGTGGCCGTAGCAGAAGCAGCTGCCGCGCACCACCAGCTCTTTGATGGCGTAGTAATACTTCTGCAGCACGTCCGAGCGCCGGTCCAGCAGGTCGTCGCCCAGAGTGTTGAGCTTCGTGAAGTTGATTCGCAGGTTTGTGATGCGCAGCAGCTCTGCAACAGAACATGCATGAAAACAGAGGCTGTGCTCGGAACTGCGTCTGCTGGCCCTGTCTCAGTAGGATCCGCTGTCTATAGTTACAGGCAGCATAAACGTCAAACACATACCTCAATCACAGCACAGGTTTACATGAGTCTGTTTAATATCATGAAGCCCTCCCAGAGACACTTCCCCCCCACCACTGAGCCCCCCTCCCCCCTACTCAGAACCCAGCTCCCCTGCACCCCCCTGTCCCTCACTGCTGCCCAAGTGAGGTCAGAGATGAGAATAAAGACAGGAGTGGCACCTGGACCAGGCCACATTAGCTCCAGGCTCCTCCACTCCTGTGCAGATGGACTCTGAGGTCGGTACCACAGCAAGACCTCCTGTGTGATACCAGTGCCCAAGACACCACGGGCCAAGCCGGTAGCTCTCTCTCATAGACAAACCCCAATGGGTTGATATAATTTCATATTTTTCTATGAACAACATGAGTCCAACTGCTGTGAAACAAAAGGCTTTATATTGTAGATTATTGCATTCAGGTAGCTCTCAATCAGGTAGCTCTTCCTCAGGTAGCTCTCTCTCAGGTAGCTCTCGCTCAGGTAGCCCTCACTCAGGTAGCCCTCCGTCAGGTAGCTCTCCCTCAGGTAGCTCTCGCTCAGGTAGCTCTCGCTCAGGTGGCCCTCGCTCAGGTAGCTCTGGCTCGAGAAGCCCTCGCTCGTACCTTGGATGTCCAGGCTGTAGGGGTCCTTCACATGGATGGCAGGGTCCAGAACTTTGTAAATGACCTGAGGAGAGGAAACAGGTCAGTGTTAGAATTCAAGGTTAAAAATCTCTTTCATGGGTTTAACCCTTCTTCCGCTTAACAAGGTCTTGGGCGGACGTCTGTGCAGGAACACCCATACTTCCCCCTCCACACACACTTGTTGCAGCTGATCAGGGGTAATCCTGACGCGTTCCCAGGCCAGCTGAGAAACACAGTCCCTCCTTAACCCTCATGTATATTAATACACATAATATTTTTCCAAACCTGTCCTCACAGGGACATGTGTCAGACCGGTCCTCACAGGGACATGTGTCTGACTGGTCCTCGCAGGACATGTGTCAGACTGGTCCTCACAGGGAAATGTATCAGACCGGTCCTCACAGGGACATGTGTCAGATCGGTCCTCACAGGGACATGTCAGACCGGTCCTCAAAGGGACATGTGTCAGACCGGTCCTCACAGGGACATGTCAGACCGGTCCTCAAAGGGACATGTGTCAGACCGGTCCTCACAGGGACATGTGTCAAACTGGTCCTCACAGGGACATGTCTCAGACTGGTCCTCACAGGGACATGTGTCAGACCGGTCCTCACAAGGACATGTCTCAGACCTTTCCTCACAGGGACATGTGTCATACTGGTCCTCACAGGGACATGTATCATACTGGTCCTCACAGGGACATGTGTCAGACTGGTCCTCACAGGGACATGTGTCATACTGGTCCTCACAGGGACTTGTGTCAGACTGGTCCTCACAGGGACATGGGTCATACTGGTCCTCACAGGGACATGTGTCATACTGGTCCTCACAGGGACTTGTGTCAGACTGCCACAGACACAGACTGAACAGAGACAGATGCCACAGACACAGACTGAACAGAGACAGATGCCACAGACACAGACTGAACAGAGACAGATGCCACAGACACAGACTGAACAGAGACAGATGCCACAGACACAGACTGAACAGAGACAGATGCCACAGACACAGACTGAACAGAGACAGATGCCACAGACACAGACTGAACAGAGACAGATGCCACAGACACAGACTGAATAGAGACAGATGCCACAGACACAGACTGAAGAGAGACAGATACCACAGACACAGACTGAACAGAGACAGATGCCACAGACACAGACTGAACAGAGACAGTTGCCACAGACACAGACTGAACAGAGACAGTTGCCACAAACACAGACTGAACAGAGACAGATGCCACAGACACAGACTGAACAGAGACAGATGCCACAGACACAGACTGAACAGAGACAGATGCCACAGACACAGACTGAACAGAGACAGATGCCACAGACACAGACTGAACAGAGACAGTTGCCACAGACACAGACTGAACAGAGACAGTTGCCACAGACACAGACTGAACAGAGACAGATGCCACAGACACAGACTGAACAGAGACAGATGCCACAGACACAGACTGAACAGAGACAGATGCCACAGACACAGACTGAACAGAGACAGATGCCACAGACACAGACTGAACAGAGACAGTTGCCACAGACACAGACTGAACAGAGACAGATGCCACAGACACAGACTGAACAGAGACAGTTGCCACAGACACAGACTGAACAGAGACAGATGCCACAGACACAGACTGAACAGAGACAGTTGCCACAGACACAGACTGAACAGAGACAGATGCCACATCAAATGAAACCCATAGAAGGGGCTCCCACTTCATAACGAGACAACACCAAAGCAGAGAGCGGGGTGTGTCTCTGTGTGGTGTGTCTGTGTTGTGTGTGTCTGTGTGTGGTGTGTGTCTGTGTGTTGTGTGTCTCACCTCTCCGTCAGTAGAGGGCTCGATGTCGCTGTAGCGCTCCTCGCAGACCACCTGGCTGATGTGGAGCAGAGAGCCGGTCTGGACCTGAGGGAACGTCCTGGAGCAGTTCTGAGCAAAGTATCTGTACGGTCTCCAGGAGCGACCAAAGTCTGCAGAGCGCTCTATCACCATGGCAGCGGGACGGAAGGTCTGTGGAGAGGAGAGTCAGGTCTGTGGAGAGTCAGGTCTGTGGAGAGTCAGGTCTGTGGAGAGGAGAGTCAGGTCTGTGGAGAGGAGAGTCAGATCTGTGGAGAGGAGAGTCAGGTCTGTGGAGAGGAGAGTCAGGTCTGTGGAGAGGAGAGTCAGGTCTATGGAGAGTCAGGTCTGTGGAGAGTCAGGTCTGTGGAGAGGAGAGTCAGGTCTATGGAGAGTCAGGTCTGTGGAGAGGAGAGTCAGGTCTATGGAGAGTCAGGTCTGTGGAGAGTCAGGTCTGTGGAGAGGAGAGTCAGGTCTATGGAGAGTCAGGTCTGTGGAGAGGAGAGTCAGGTCTGTGGAGAGTCAGGTCTGTGGAGAGGAGAGTCAGGTCTATGGAGAGGAGAGTCAGGTCTGTGGAGAGTCAGGTCTGTGGAGAGGAGTCAGGTCTGTGGAGAGGAGTCAGGTCTGTGGAGAGTCAGGTCTGTGGAGAGGAGAGTCAGGTCTATGGAGAGGAGAGTCAGGTCTGTGGAGAGTCAGGTCTGTGGAGAGGAGTCAGGTCTGTGGAGAGTCAGGTCTGTGGAGAGGAGAGTCAGGTCTATGGAGAGGAGAGTCAGGTCTGTGGAGAGTCAGGTCTGTGGAGAGGAGTCAGGTCTGTGGAGAGGAGAGTCAGGTCTGTGGAGAGTCAGGTCTGTGGAGAGGAGAGTCAGGTCTATGGAGAGCCAGGTCTGTGAAGAGTCAGGTCTGTGGAGAGGAGAGTCAGGTCTGTGGAGAGTCAGGTCTGTGGAGAGGAGAGTCAGGTCTATGGAGAGTCAGGTCTGTGGAGAGTCAGGTCTGTGGAGAGTCAGGTCTGTGGAGAGGAGAGTCAGGTCTATGGAGAGTCAGGTCTGTGGAGAGTCAGGTCTGTGGAGAGTCAGGTCTGTGGAGAGTCAGGTCTGTGGAGAGGAGAGTAGTTTGACCAGGCCTGTACTGGGTCTGGACTGGGTCTGGACTGGGTTTGAACAGCAGCTGGACCTAAAGTAAACTGCAGCTCCTCAGCTCTGATGTATCTCCCGTTTCAGGTGCTTTTGTGTTTCTAACTGCACTTTGTGTTTGTAGTTGTTGGTTTCTGTGGATGGAGCAGTGGATGTTCATGAACAGCTGTAAATACACATGATTGTAGCTGTGTAGCACAAGTGCTAACCACTGCGCCACCCACCGACCCTGTTTGGGCAAGTGCTATGTACTATAGAGACTCAAAAGGTGGGCCCCAAATGGTTGATTAATTTAGTATAATCTAGAATTCAGTATTAATCTACAGTCACTGTAGGCACTTTGTTGCTTATTGTGTAAATAGTGTTTTTAATTGAGGTCTGTCTGTTGATGTGTCTCTTTGCACTGAGGTGTCTTGGACTTGGAGATGATCAGGCCTTTGTTTCCACACGTCAGGCCTTTGTTTCCACACGTCAGGCCTTTGTTTCCACACGTCAGGCCTTTGTTTCCACACGTCATGCCTTTGTTTCCACACGTCATGCCTTTGTTTCCACACGTCAGGCCTTTGTTTCCACACGTCATGCCTTTGTTTCCACACGTCATGCCTTTGTTTCCACACGTCATGCCTTTGTTTCCACACGTCAGGCCTTTGTTTCCACACGTCAGGCCTTTGTTTCCACACATCATGCCTTTGTTTCCACACGTCATGCCTTTGTTTCCACACGTCAGGCCTTTGTTTCCACACGTCATGCCTTTGTTTCTACACGTCATGCCTTTGTTTCCACACGTCATGCCTTTGTTTCCACACGTCATGCCTTTGTTTCCACACGTCAGGACTTTGTTTCCACACGTCAGGACTTTGTTTCCACACGTCATGCCTTTGTTTCCACACGTCAGGCCTTTGTTTCCACACGTCATGCCTTTGTTTCCATGCGTCAAGCCTTTGTTTCCACACGTCATGCCTTTGTTTCCACACGTCAGGCCTTTGTTTCCACACGTCATGCCTTTGTTTCTACACGTCATGCCTTTGTTTCCACACGTCATGCCTTTGTTTCCACACGTCAGGCCTTTGTTTCCACACGTCATGCCTTTGTTTCCACACGTCATGCCTTTGTTTCCACACGTCAGGCCTTTGTTTCCACACATCATGCCTTTGTTTCCACACGTCATGCCTTTGTTTCCACACGTCAGGCCTTTGTTTCCACACGTCATGCCTTTGTTTCTACACGTCATGCCTTTGTTTCCACACGTCATGCCTTTGTTTCCACACGTCATGCCTTTGTTTCCACACGTCAGGACTTTGTTTCCACACGTCAGGACTTTGTTTCCACACGTCATGCCTTTGTTTCCACACGTCAGGCCTTTGTTTCCACACGTCATGCCTTTGTTTCCATGCGTCAAGCCTTTGTTTCCACACGTCATGCCTTTGTTTCCACACGTCATGCCTTTGTTTCCACACGTCATGCCTTTGTTTCCACACGTCATGCCTTTGTTTCCACACGTCAGGACTTTGTTTCCACACGTCAGGCCTTTGTTTCCACACGTCATGCCTTTGTTTCCATGCGTCAAGCCTTTGTTTCCACACGTCATGCCTTTGTTTCTACACGTCATGCCTTTGTTTCCACACGTCAGGACTTTGTTTCTACACGTCATGCCTTTGTTTCCACACGTCAGGACTTTGTTTCCACACGTCATGCCTTTGTTTCCATGCGTCAAGCCTTTGTTTCCACACGTCAGGCCTTTGTTTCCACACGTCAGGCCTTTGTTTCCACACGTCATGCCTTTGTTTCTACACGTCATGCCTTTGTTTCCACACGTCAGGCCTTTGTTTCCACACGTCAGGCCTTTGTTTCCACACGTCTCGACGACTGCAACTCATTGTTCATCCATCCATCTTCTACCCTTTAATCCATTTCTGGGTCAGGGGGGTGGCAGTCAGAGATGCCACCCAAGTCTCATAGCACCAGCCCCTCACTGACCCTCTGCAGGTGGTGAGTCCACAGGAGGACGGCTGCTCTCTGAGTGTGAGCATAGCCTTGATCTTTCAGTGGGGGCTTTGGGCAAAGTGGGGTTAAGTGTCTTGCCCAAGGACACAACGACAGCAGTCATCAGTGGGAGTCGGTGGAGAAGGTGTAGAGGTTGGAATTGAACCCACAACCTTCAGGCCTGAAGGCCAATGCTCTACCAACTGAGCTACTGTCGCCCCAACTCATTGTTTACTTGTCTTAATAAGAGTGCTCTTAACAGACTTTCATTTGTGCAAAATTCCGCTGCCAGACTTTTAACAGGAACCCCCCGGTGGTCTCACATCACCCCAAAGACCTGCTATAAGACCCAGGGAGACCGGTCCTTCCAGTCCGTGGCCCCCAGACTGTGGGACGCCTCTGTCCCTCCGTGTGGTCAACTCTGCCGATGCTTTTAAAAAGGGACTAAAGATACTTCTTTTTAGAGCAGCTTTTGGATAATTTCTTGTCTTTATGTTGTTATTTTTGTCTTATTTCTATTGTATTTACATATCTGCTTTTACCTTGTACAGCACTTTGTGATTTTTATCTGTTAAAGGTGCTCTATAAATAAAATGTACTTACTACTTACTATATTCCAGCGCTGTGAGACTGAGACACAAGTCCCTGAGATAAAGATGAGCCATGAACCACAAACTAAACCAAATTAAACTAAACCAATCCAAACCCGCCCGGCCTCGTGGGTGCAGAGCTGATGATGTCATGTAGATCATAATGATTCAAACTCAGACGAAGGATTTACGACCAAGACTTTCACAACAAACCACAGGAAGAATGTGGAGATAAGCGCACGAGTGGGGACCTGGATCAGACCTGGATCAGACCTGGTTTAGTCCTGCTTTAGTCCTGCTTTAGTCCTGCTTTAGTCCTGCTTTAGTCCTGCTTTTGTCCTACTCAAGACCTGCTTTAGATCTGCCCTAGTCCTGCTTTAGACTTTCTTTAGTCCTGCTTCAGACCTGCTTTAGACCTGCTTAAATTGAGTCCTGTCTTAGTCCAATTTTTGGTCCAGTACTAGTCTCAGACCTTGAACTTTATGATCAAGTGGGTGAAGTGGAACTCCGCCTCCAGGTTCAGTCGAATCTGAACGTTTTCTTCTCCTGGAAAAAAATAATTAAAAGCATTGTAATGAAACGCAGAGGCACAGGGAGCTGCAGTCTCTCACACGGCCACAGGAGGGCGTACCGTTCACAGACTGCCACCAGCTGTGCTCGTCTTCCTCGCTCTTCGTCAGGTAGATCACACTCTCGATGCGGTGTCGCAATCTGGGGTCCGAGTCGTCACACACAAAGCATTTATCTGACTCCTGGAACAAAATTACACAGGTTTAATGGAGTGAGAGACGACCAGGATGAGCACTCTGGAACACAGTGAGGGTTATAGGCATCAGAGGTGGTCTCTCTCTCTCTCTGGTCTCTCTCTCTCTCTGATGTCTCTCTGGTCTCTATCTGATCTCTCTGGTCTCTTTCTCTGGTATCTCTCTGCTCTCTCATTGGTCTCCCTGTGGTCTCTCTTAGGTGTCTCTATGGTCTCCATCTGGTCTCTCAGGTCGCTTTCTGGTCTCTCTGTGGTTTCTCTCTGGTCTCTCTCTGTTCTCTCAGGTGTCTCTCTGGTCTCACTCTGGTCTCTCTGGTCTCTCTTTTCTCTCAGGTGTCTCTCTGGTCTCTCTCTGGTCTTGCTGGTCTCTCTCTGGTCTCTCTCTGGTCTCTCTCTGGTCTCTCTCTGGTCTCTCTCTCTGGTCTCTGGTTTCTCTCTGGTCTCTCTGGTCTCTCGCTGGTCTCTCTCTGGTCTCTCTCTGGTCTCTCTGGTCTCTCTCTGGTCTCTCTCTGGTCTCTCTCTGGTCTCTCTCTGGTCTCTCTGGTCTCTCTCTGGTCTCTCTCTGGTCTCTCTCTGGTCTCTCTGGTCTTTCTCTGGTCTCTCTCTGGTCTCTCTGGTCTCTCTCTGGTCTCTCTGGTCTCTCTCTGGTCTCTCTCTGGTCTCTCTCTGGTCTCTCTCTGGTCTCTCTGGTCTCTCTCTGGTCTCTCTCTGGTCTCTCTCTGGTCTCTCTCTGGTCTCTCTCTGGTTTCTCTGGTCTCTCTGGTCTGATAGCGTGGGCTGTAAACATTTGTCAAGGTTCTGTTTTTTCAGTTGGAGTGTGTCTGAGGTGAAGGCCACAGTCTGTCCCAGGGCAGCTGTGACCTCCACCAGAACACGGAAACAGACAAGGACAACAGCAGAGATAAGAAGGAGACAGTCAAGAGAAAGTATCACTGCCACTGTCCCCCCGCCCCCTCTGTCTGACCCCTCGGGTCTCAAACTCGCTCTGGTCCCTCTCTGGTCTCTCTCTGGTCTCTCTCTGGTCTCACTTTGGTCTCTCTCTGGTCTCTCTCTCTGGTCTCTCTCTGGTCTCTCTCTGGTCCCTCTCTGGTCTCTCTCTGGTCTCTCTCTGGTCTCTCTCTGGTCTCTCTCTGGTCTCTCTCTGGTCTCTCTCTGGTCTCTCTCTGGTCTCTCTCTGGTCTCTCTCTGGTCTCTCTCTGGTCTCTCTCTGGTCTCTCTCTGGTCTCTCTCTGGTCTCTCTCTGGTCTCTCTCTGGTCTCTTTGGTGATGGATGGCCGTGTGGACAAACATGTCTGATTTATTCTTTGCAGAACTCAGTTACACATATTTGTGAGGCAGGTCCAGACAGGAGTAGAACACACACAGACACACACACATATACACAGACACACACACACACACACATATACACAGACACACACACACACACTCACACAGAGCTCTGACACAAATGAAGACAAACGGAAAACACAGCTCCAGGCTTCGGAAACTGACAATCAAAAATGACATCTGCAAACACAGGGCCGAGACCTGGGCCGAGACCTGGGCCGAGACCTGGGCCGAGACCTGGGCCGAGACCTGGGCCGAGACCTGGGCCGAGACCTGGGCCGAGACCTGGGCCGAGACCTGGGCCGAGACGTTCTGTCCTTGTAATCATTGCATTTTCTGTATTTGAGGAAAACACACAACTCCAGTGTTGACGTCACTGGTTTACTGAGAACAGAATCACATTCATGGTCCTTCTTTAAACAGTCAAGACCATCGATGTTATGGCACCATTCTACCTCCTACACCAGTGTCACACCAACCAGCTCTCTGCGTCTGAAGGACACACAAACACATATACACGCACACATATACACACACACACAAACACATATACACAAACACATATACACGCACACATATACACACACACACAAACACATATACACAAACACATATACACATGCACACATATACACGTGCACACATATAGACGCGCACACATATACACGTGCACACATATACACGTGCACACATATAGACGCGCACACATATACACGTGCACACATATACACGCGCACACATATACACGTGCACACATATACACGTGCAGACACACACACACAAACACATATACACGCACACATATACACACACACAAACACATGTACACACAAACACATATACACGCACACATATACACGCGCACATATACACGCACACACATATACACGCGCACACATATACACGCGCACACATATACACACAAACACATATACACACCCACACATATACACGTGCACACATATACACGCGCACACATATACACACAAACACATATACACACCCACACATATACACGTGCACACATATACACGCGCACACATATACACGTGCACACACATACACATGCACACACATATACATGCGCACACATATACACGCGCACACATATACACGCGCACACATATACACGCGCACACATACACATGCACACACATACACATGCACACACATACACATGCACACACATATACATGCACACACATACACATGCACACACATACACATGCACACACATATACACGCGCACACATATACACATGCACACACAAACACATGCACACACATACACATGCACACACATACACATGCACACACATATACATGCACACACATACACATGCACACACATACACATGCACACACACACACACGCGCACACATATACACGCACACACACAAACACATGCACACACATACACATGCACACACATACACATGCACACACATACACATGCACACACATACACATACACACCCAGACACACACCGGCACAAGAGGTGTATTTACAGAAGCTTCTCAAACAGAGGACACCTGGCTGCAGAACAAACATCAGCATCATGAGCGGGTCACAGTCACACACACGGGCCAGAGGTGAGAGAGTCTGAAGGTAAAGGAGACAGTAGTGAGAGAGTCTGAAGGTAAAGGAGACAGTAGAGAGAGAGTCTGAAGGTAAAGGAGACAGTAGTGAGAGAGTCTGAGGGTAAAGGAGACAGTAGTGAGAGAGTCTGAAGGTAAAGGAGACAGTAGTGAGAGAGTCTGAAGGTATAGGAGACAGTAGAGAGAGAGTCTGAAGGTAAAGGAGACAGTAGTGAGAGAGTCTGAGGGTAAAGGAGACAGTAGTGAGAGAGTCTGAAGGTAAAGGAGACAGTAGTGAGAGAGTCTGAAGGTAAAGGAGACAGTAGTGAGAGAGTCTGAAGGTAAAGGAGACAGTAGAGAGAGAGTCTGAAGGTAAAGGAGACAGTAGTGAGAGAGTCTGAAGGTATAGGAGACAGTAGTGAGAGAGTCTGAGGGTAAAGGAGACAGTAGTGAGAGAGTCTGAAGGTATAGGAGACAGTAGTGAGAGAGTCTGAGGGTAAAGGAGACAGTAGTGAGAGAGTCTGAAGGTAAAGGAGACAGTAGTGAGAGAGTCTGAAGGTATAGGAGACAGTAGTGAGAGAGTCTGAGGGTAAAGGAGACAGTAGTGAGAGAGTCTGAAGGTAAAGGAGACAGTAGTGAGAGAGTCTGAGGGTAAAGGAGACAGTAGTGAGAGAGTCTGAGGGTAAAGGAGACAGTAGTGAGAGAGTCTGAGGGTAAAGGAGACAGTAGTGAGAGAGTCTGAAGGTAAGAGAGAGACAGTAGTGAGAGAGTCTGAAGGTAAAGGAGACAGTAGTGAGAGAGTCTGAAGGTAAAGGAGACAGTAGTGAGAGAGTCTGAGGGTAAAGGAGACAGTAGTGAGAGAGTCTGAAGGTATAGGAGACAGTAGTGAGAGAGTCTGAAGGTAAAGGAGACAGTAGTGAGAGAGTCTGAGGGTAAAGGAGACAGTAGTGAGAGAGTCTGAAGGTAAAGGAGACAGTAGTGAGAGAGTCTGAAGGTAAAGGAGACAGTAGTGAGAGAGTCTGAAGGTAAAGGAGACAGTAGAGAGAGAGTCTGAAGGTAAAGGAGACAGTAGTGAGAGAGTCTGAGGTAAAGGAGACAGTAGTGAGAGAGTCTGAAGGTAAAGGAGACAGTAGTGAGAGAGTCTGAGGGTAAAGGAGACAGTAGTGAGAGAGTCTGAAGGTAAAGGAGACAGTAGAGAGAGAGTCTGAAGGTAAAGGAGACAGTAGTGAGAGAGTCTGAAGGTAAAGGAGACAGTAGTGAGAGAGTCTGAAGGTAAAGGAGACAGTAGTGAGAGAGTCTGAAGGTAAAGGAGACAGTAGTGAGAGAGTCTGAAGGTAAAGGAGACAGCAGTGAGAGAGTCTGAAGGTAAAGGAGACAGTAGTGAGAGAGTCTGAAGGTAAAGGAGATTGTAGAAGCTCAGAGAGGGATAACTGGAGAGGTTTAGTGTGTAATTATTGGAGTGTAGATAACACACTCTCACCTGCAGGTGGCTCACGATGCAGTAGTGCGCCGCTCCGCGCTCGCCGCAGGTGGAGGAGGCGCTGAAGTTCACGGCTCGTCCAATCAGGAGGTTTCCTGTTGCCGGGTAAACAGCTGCCATCAGTGCAGCCATGTGGAGCGGAGGGGAACTGCTGCAGAGACACGCCCACCACTGAGGGGGCGGGGTTTAAAGCTGTTAGACACCCCCACCATGGAAGGGGCGGGGTTTAGAGCTGTTAGACCCTGCCACTTCTGAGGAGCTGACACGCCTCCACCCTTCACCTCCTCCTCACCTCCTACACCCCCCCCCCCCCCCCCCTCACCCCCCATCCCCCCATCCCTCATAGAGCAGAGAGACAGAGGAAGTCTGGGTTAATGTTTAAACTGAATGAGCTCATGCTCCGTGATCCTGTGGAGACAGAACACATTCTTCATCTGTTTACATTTGTCTGTCCTAACACGCTAAGGAACACGCTAAGAAACACACTAAAGAACATGCTAAGAAACACACTAAAGAACATGCTAAGGAACATACTAAAGAACATGCTAAGAAACACACTAAAGAACATGCTAAGGAACATACTAAAGAACATGCTAAGAAACACACTAAAGAACATGCTAAGGAACATACTAAAGAACATGCTAAGAAACACACTAAAGAACATGCTAAGGAACATACTAAAGAACATGCTAAGAAACACACTAAAGAACATGCTAAGAAACACACTAAAGAACATGCTAAGGAACATACTAAAGAACATGCTAAGAAACACACTAAAGAACATGCTAAGGAACATACTAAAGAACATGCTAAGAAACACACTAAAGAACATGCTAAGGAACATACTAAAGAACATGCTAAGAAACACACTAAAGAACATGCTAAGGAACATACTAAAGAACATGCTAAGAAACACACTAAAGAACATGCTAGGAACATTCTAAAGAAACAATATAAAGAAACATGCTAAGGAAAACTCTAAGGAACACGATCAGAAACATGCTAAAGAACAATATACTGTATTTGTGGCATGTACTGGTCGCGCACTCCCTAAATTGTGTTGTGTGTCTGAGTGTTTGTGTTGCGTATGTGTGTGTGCGTGTGTGTTTGTGTGTCTGTATGTGTGTGTTGTGTCTGTATGTGTGTGTGTGTGTGTGTGTGTGTTGTGTGTTTGTATGTGTGTGTTGTGTCTGTATGTCTGTGTGTGTATGTGTGTGTGTCTGTGTGTAGTTCCACATTCCTCAGATTCTGGGACAAATACTTTGGTAATTACTCTCATTTGTACCGTTTATGGATCATGTCTTTGAGCACAGCATTTCATTATATTAGCAATAAAAACTAAAGCTGGGGGTCTGTATCTTTAAAGCTGGGGGTCTGTATCTTTAAAGCTGGGGTCTGTAACTTTAAAGCTGGGGTCTGTAACTTTAAAGCTGGGGTCTGTAACTTTAAAGCTGGGGTCTGTAACTTTAAAGCTGGGGTCTGTAACTTTAAAGCTGGGGTCTGTAACTTTAAAGCTGGGGTCTGTCACTTTAAAGCTGGGGTCTGTAACTTTAAAGCTGGGGTCTGTAACTTTAAAGCTGGGGTTTGTAACTTTAAAGCTGGGGTCTGTAACTTTTAAAGCTGGGGTTTGTAACTTTAAAGCTGGGGTCTGTAACTTTAAAGCTGGGGTCTGTCACTTTAAAGCTGGGGTTTGTAACTTTAAAGCTGGGGTCTGTGTCTTTAAAGCTGGGGTCTGTATCTTTAAAGCTGGGGTCTGTCACTTTCAGACCAATAGAACTCTGTATTAAACCCATGTCTCTAAAACAGTGGCTTCTGTCTCTAGTTTCACATCATGTATTTGTGATGTCACATCTTTAGATCAAAGAGAGGACCACCCTCACTCAGCCAATCAGCTCTCAGCCCAAAGAGGCAGATAGTGACTCACAGGGATCTAATGAGATGAAGACAGATAAGTGTGTCTGTTCAAACTACATGTTATTTAAGAGACCAAAGTTACAGACCTGTGCTTTAAACATGTGTTATTTAAGAGACCAAAGTTACAGACCTCAGCTTTAAACATCTGTCTCACAAACTCACCGCAGAGGAGCAGACTCAAGGCGCGAGCAGCGCCGAGGTCTCCAGACAATACTCGTAAAGCATAAGTCCGAATAATTGATAATAGCACATGTGTTCAGACTTAAAAACACTACTTCACAATGTAAACAAAGAGCAGGTGATTCCCATTCTCTCCACACGGGGGCGACAGCAGCCTCCATCATCATCACTCAGACTTACTCAAACTGGAGCACCTGGAGGAAACCCTACAGACACGGGGAGAACGTGCAAACTCCACACAGGGTCTGTCTGCAGAAGTCCTCACTCACTCTCACGAAGGGGACAGACATTTTGGCTCCTGTTTCCACATGGACGATTGTTTTCACTCGACTCAAACTTAAACAAACTCCAGACCGAGCCAATCAGAGCGCTCCGTCTGTGAACACACCAGGAGCCAATCAGAGCGCTCCGTCTGTGCACACACCAGGAGCCAATCAGAGCGCTCCGTCTGTGAACACACCAGGAGCCAATCAGAGCGCTCCGTCTGTGCACACACCAGGAGCCAATCAGAGCGCTCCATCTGTGAACACACCAGGAGCCAATCAGAGCGCTCCGTCTGTGAACACAACAGGAGCCAATCAGAGAGCTCCATCTGTGAACACACCAGGAGCCAATCAGAGCTCTCCGTCAGATGGCAGAGTGGCTCACCCTGGTCATCTCTTACTCCATATTTCTTGGTGATGTCACATGACCAGGACGTGGACTTGAGGTGATGTCACATGACCAGAACGTGGACTCAAGGTGATATCACGTGACCAGGACTCTGGAGTCCGTGGTTCAGTGGCGCCGCAGCTGAGTCCACTCGTGTCACCGCGGCAACGGAGCCAAGCTCTGTTTTCTTATTCTAATCTGTGTGACACTCACTCAGAGGTCTCCAGGGGAAAGGAATGTGTGTGTGTGTGTGTGTGAGTGAGTGTGTGTGAGTGTGTGTGTGTATGCCCCTGTGTGTGTGGGTGAAGAGAGAGTGTGTGTGCAAGGGGGTCCCTGTTTAGTGTGTGGGTGTGCCCTGGGTGTGGTTCTAGTCCTTATGTTGGAAGGGTGGCGGTGTGAATGAGGGTCTCTATGTGTGTAAGTGAGAGAAAGTGTTTGTAAGTGTCAGTGTGTGTATATGTGTGTCTCTATGTTTATGTATTTGTGTCTGTGTGTGTATGTATTTTTGTCTGTGTGTGTATATGTGGGTCTCTGTGCGTATGTGTGTGTGTATGTGTGTTCATGTGTGTATCTGTGTGTGTATCTGTGGGTGTATGTGTGTGTGTGTGTGCGTGATGGCCCGGAGCAGACAACCCTCTGACAAAAGGGAAAATATGTGACAGATTGTGATCTCACGTTTCAGAATCTGCTGCTTTGAAAAGAGTACGTTTACATCTGAGCCAAAATGTCTGTTCATCTGAGCCAAAATGTCTGTCCATGTGAGCCAAAATTTCTGTCCAACTGAGCCAAAATGTCTGTTCATCTGAGCCAAAATGTCTGCCTGAGGCCCAAAATGTCTGCCCACTGAGCCCAAAATGTCTGTTCAGCTGAGCCAAATTTCGTCCTACTGAGCCAAAATGTCTGTCATCTGAGCCAAAATGTCTGGCCATTGAGCCAATATTTCTGTCCAACTGAGCCCAAAAAATTTGGTCTTTCAAATATAACTCTGGAGCCAAAATGTCCTGCCCATCTGAGGCCAAAATGTCTGTTCATCTTGAGCCAAAATGTCGTTCCCATACTGAGCCAAAATGTCTGTTCATCTGATGCCTAATGTCTGTCCAACGAGCAAAATGGTCTGTTCATCTGACCAAAATCTCTGTTCATCTGAGGCCAAAATGCTGTTCATTCTGACCAAAATGTCTGTCCCACTGAGCCCAAATTCTGTCCAACTGAGCCAAAATGTTTGTGCATCTGAGAGCACAAATGTCTTCCTGCTACCAAATTGCTGTCCACTGAGCCAATAATTCGTTCATCTGAAGAGCCAAAATTCTGTTCCAGCTGAGCCATCCATCTGAACAAAATTTCTACCCTTTCTGCTGAATCCATTTCTGGGTCAGGGGTGAGCCTAAATTTCTGTCAACTGACCATAATCAGAGATGTCCACCCAAAATGTCTCATAGCACCAGCCCCTCACTGACCCTCTGCAGTGGTGAGTCCACAGGAGACGGCTGCTCTCTGAGTGTGAGCATGTGAGCATAGCCTTGATCTTTCAGTGGGGGCTTTGGGCAAAGTGGGGTTAATGTCTTGCCCAAGGACACAACGACAGCAGTCTCAGTGGGAGTCGATGGAGAAGGTGCAGAAGTGGGAAAATTTCTGTCCATCTGAGCCAAAATGTCTGGCCATCTACCAAAATCTCTTTATCTGAGCCAAATGGCGTCATCCTGAGCCAAAATGGTCTTCCATCTAGCCAAAATTCCTGTTTCAATCAGTCCAGAGCCAAATTGTCTGTCCAATCCATAGCCAAAATGTCTGTACATCTAAGCCAAAATTTCTTCCATCTAAGGGCCAAAATCTCTCTTTTCATCTGAGCCAAAATCTCTTTTTTCATCTACCAAAATGTACGTTCATACTGAGCCAAATGATCTTCCATCCTGAGCCAAAATGCTGTTCATACTGTGACCAAAATGTCTGTCCATCTTAGCCAAAAGTGTTCTGCCATCGAGCCAAAATGTCCGTGCCCACTACCAAAATGTACGTTCACTGAGCCAAAATGTCCTTCCATCTAGCCAAAATGTCTTGTACCATTGAGCCAAAATCTCTGTTCATCTGAGCCAAAATTACGTTCATCTGACCAAAATCCAGTCCAATCTGAGCCAAAAATGTCAGTTCTTTCTAGCCAAAATGTCTGTCCATCTGAGCCATAAATGTCTGTACATTCTAACCAAAATGTCTGACCCCATCCCGAGCCCAAAATCTCTGTTCATCTGACCAAAATTCTCATTTCTCTAGCCTAAAATGTACGTTTCATAGCTGATCCAAATGGTCTGTCCATCTGGAGCCACAATATTCAGTTCACTGAGCCAAAATGTCTTAGCCCAATCGGAAGCCAAAATGTCTGTCCACTAGCCAAAATGTCCCTGCACCAACTAGCCAAAAATGTGACGTATCACTTCTGAGGCCGAAAAATGTCTGTCCATCTGAGCCAAAAATGTCTGTTCCCATTATCCAAAATTCTGTCCATCGGAGGACCAAAATGTCAGTCCTTCGACCAAAATTGCTTCCATTCCTGTGCCAAAATGTCTGCCCACGACCCAAAATGTCCTGTACTCTGAGCCCTAAATGTCTGCCCCATCTACCACAAAATCTGTCCATCCTGAGACCAAAACGACTGTCCACTGACCAAGAAATTTCTGTCCTGCAGAGCCCAAATGTCTGTCCATCTGGAGCCAAAATGTCTGTATCCATCTTCCAAAATGTCTGTCCATCTGACCCAAATTCTGTACATCTATCCAAATTCTGTCCATCTACCAAAACTGTCGGTCCATCTGACCAAAACGTCTGTCCATCTGAGACCAAAATTCTGTTCATCTGAGCCAAAATGTCTGGTCCATCTAGCCAAATCGTCTGTCCATCTGAGCCAAAATGTCTTGTCCAACTGACCAAAATGTCTGTTCATCTGATCCTAAAATGTCTTTACATCTGAGCCAAAATGTCTGTCCCTCAGAGCCAAAATTTCTGTGTAGTTATAAAAAGTAAAACAAGGAGATCATTTGTTACAACTCAAAAAAATATATTTAGTTAGCAATATATACTAACCACAAAATATAGTTTTCTTCCTATATATATCAACTTTCTCCAGCAAAAACTAGTTAAGAATACAATAAATATTTTACCACAGGATATTCATGTAATTAATTAATAGAGTGGAAAGATACTATCTCTTACTAGAGAATTGCTCGTACCATTATACACATGATTTATTGTCATAAGAATCGCACCAAAACCTGAAAAAATCAATAACCTTTTACCTATTGGGTGAAGTAGTAGAACCTACCCAGAAATGCAATGCAGAGAAAAACATAAACATTTCTGAAAAATCTACATTTGAGCAATAATTTTGAGGTGAACTTACAAATCAAGGACTAAAATCAAAATACGTGAGCAACATTTTTGAACAAACAAATTTAAACCCAATGAAAAAATTAAATTATATTTTTTTACCAACCAAAGACGACATGGCCAATTCAAATATGCTTTACTTCCTGTGTGTTGTCACTAATCAAAATGTTATCGTATTGTGCCACAGAGTCGATTACAACTGTAATCACTTTCGATGAGCGCTCTGTGAAAAATAAGATAATTTATGACATACCAAATACACATTAAAGTGGAACAACACCAAAACACATTAGATACTAATAATAATTTAAAACCAGAAAAATTAATAATATCTACATATGCACTTCATAACAGAAAATATAGAAACAAGTAAATACCTAATATTTTAATATCTGGATATTCCTGTATGAAAATAATTGCATAAACTTTTACATAAATCCACACAAAGTTTAAAGGTTAGTAAAAGTAACAATTGACTTTTTGATACTGGCAAGTAAGTTAATACTAGATATTACACAAACACCATACAAATATGAGAGCACAACCATACACTCTTTTTATTAAATTCAAATCTCCACGTCATCTTCATTTGAGATCAATTGATGCCGAGCAGCTTCAATCATGAGATCACCTAGACCACACGTGAATAGGACCTGCGGTCGCGAGACCTGCAGGCGCAGTGAGCTTGTACAACAACTAAAGTTCAGAGCTCCTAGCCTCTGAGTTGTGAATGTGAAGCAATTGTGATGTGTGTGGTGTTTTTATTGTGTCTAAGCCTGTGTGTGCGTGTGTCTGTTGTGGTGCGCAAGCGGCATTTGCGGTGTCTAACGGAGGGCAGCACAGGCTTTGGGGCGCTTTTTCTTCTGCGGGTACATACCTTCAGACAAAGACTTTGCAATAGAACCATGCCACAGTTCCCTTGTGCTTTGGCAGATTATGCCAGCTTTAACCAGCCCTCACACTGATACACACACACACACCGCACACACATCCACGCACACACACACAGACACACGCACGGCACTGGCAAGACACACATACACACACAACACACACACAAATGCTCACATACACACACAGAGCTTCTGAGCTCTGCCCCTTTAATGATATCACATCACACATGCTCCTGCAGGCACCTCTCATACCACGCGGTCAAACCGTGTTGTCAAGGTGATCCGCGGGAAGGCGGCTTCTGCATCACGTTTACACACTCACATGAAATGACCTTGTAGAATTTTACTTAATAAAATCATTGTAAGTA